TATATATATATATATATATATATGCACCTTTATCTCTTCTCTATTCAAGCACCATATTAAGCAAAGCACTTGAGCAGTCGAGGGAGAGAACTAAAGTGTGACAAAGAAAAAGATGGGAAGAGAGTATCAATTTTCTAACAAGTTGAAACTCCTCATAACCGTATTTTTGCTTCACTTGTGCTATGCAGGATCTCACATAGTGTCAAGAGTGGCGCTAAACATGGGCATAAGCAAACTGCTACTCCTTGTCTACAGAAATATCATTGCTGTAGTTTTGCTGGCTCCCTTTGCCTATTTTCTAGAAAAGTAAGGCATTGAATTTCTTAATTGAATGTCACACAAGTGTATTGAAGCATTAAATACTATTTTTTTTTTCCTGCAAATTAATGTCTGCATATTCCAATCTATTTTTCTTTAGGAATGACAGGCCACCTCTTACCTTCTCGATCCTAATTGAGTTGTTTCTTCTTGCGCTTTGTGGGTAATTAAGCAATAATTCAGTTAATCAAATAACCCACCAGCACTTTATAAAGACCATTATGCTGGTTTTTTTTTTCAAAATTCACAATGTTTATTAATCACTGAATGCCTTGCAGAATTACAGCTAACCAAGGGTCTTACATACTGGGTTTGTACTACTTGTCTCCAACTTATGTATCTGCAATACAGAATTCAACTCCAGCGATCACATTTGCGATGGCTGCAGCCTTAAGGTGATTCCATCTTTTCAGCAATAGTAGTAATTAGCTCAAATTGACTTGCTTTACAATTGTTTTGGTAACATAATGGGCAGTAGTTAATATTGCAGGCTTGAAAAATTGAACATTAAGAAGAGGTATGGCATTGCAAAGGTGATGGGAACTGCAGTTTGTATTAGTGGAGCAACCATCTTAACCTTGTATAAGGGTTCTCCTCTTCTTCAACACCACCTAAACCTCACAATACTGGGAAAATCCTTGATCATCTCTTCAAACCAGATAATGCATTGGACCTTAGGATGTGTCTATATTCTACTAAACTGTGTTGCTTGGTCTGGTTGGATGGTTTTCCAGGTATTGAAGATGATCAAGTCTTTAATTTCTTGCAAAAACTTCCTCATGTTAAATAAACAATCAATTTATTAGATGTTTGTGTTTCTTCATTGAAAATTAATATTGATTATTTAAATAATATCCTAAATTTCAGGTACCAGTGCTCAAGCACTACCCAGCTAGGCTCTCAGTAACGACACTCACCTGTTTTTTTGGTGTAATACAGTTTGTTGCCATAGCAGCATTCACTGAAAGGGATGTTGAGAGGTGGAAGATCCATTCAGGAGAAGAGCTCCTCGCCGTTCTTTATGCGGTACGCAACTCTTCAGTCTCCAGCAGTTTGCTATTTATTTATTGATATTTTAATAGCTCTCTCTCTCTCTCCCCTTATTTTCAAGCTTATCACAATTCAAGCTAAAAAATTAAAATGAAAGAACGTAGAAACTTCTCTCTCCCTCATTTATTATTCTATATTTTATTGAAGTTGATAAGCTGACGAGAAGGATATTAATAGGAAAAACTAATATTATTTCTAACATCTCATCAGTTATGTTTTGGACGTTTTTAATGTATAGGGGAGATGGGACAGATTCGTTGAACAAGCCGAATTTTTTATCAAGTTAATAATCCATGAGTGACAAAAAATTATTAATGTATTTTTGTCATATTCAGGGCCTAGTTGGTTCAGGGATTACTTTCTCTCTTCAGACATGGTGCATTGATAGGGCAGGCCCACTATTCGTTGCTGTTTTCCAACCTGTACAGACTGTCTTGGTGGCCATCCTCGCAGCCATTATACTTGGAGATCAATTGTACTCTGGTGGGTAAGTATAATAGCCGTAGCCTATAGATTTATTACTCATTTACAATACAAAAATTATGTATATATGACTCAAAATTTCACATAAATTTTAGTAATTTCCTATAGTTTTTTAATGAATGCAGGCTTATAGGGTTCATACTTATAATGGTGGGGCTTTATTCTGTACTGTGGGGGAAGAATGAGGAGAACAAAGTTGGAAACCTGGAAAAAGAGGATCTCACAAACCACCTTCTTGAGCAGCAATAAAAGTCTGAGAAAGTCAAGATATGAAGGCATTAAGACATTATTCATGTGACATTATATTATCAATAACTTTCTATTAATGTTATCATAAGGACATATACTGAATATCCATGTTGAATTTATGAAGGGGTCGAGCATGCATTCATAAAGCTAGCTAGATAAAATAAGCTTCATGTAGTTGATAATATCTTAATTTCAGCATCAAGTACTCATACTTGGCCATTATTGCATGAAAAAATGATATAGGTTTTTTACTTTCTATGATGCATTAATATTTCATAATAATAAAGCATATCATTTCGGGTACTTGCTTCACATATTGGATACATCATATATGTTTGACAAATGTGTCATAAATAATATTTTTTTTATTTTAAAAATATATTGCACAAAGTTAAGCCAATATTTTCATTTTATTTTTTTAAAAAATACTTAAATAATTTAGTGGGCATTTAATATTAATTTTTATTTTATTATTTTGCTTTATGTATCTATGATTTGTTATAATGTTTATTTTTTGTTAAATAATTAATTTTGTAACTTTAAGCTAACAATCT